AGAAACAGACACTTTACTAGAAGCAGTTTTGTCTTACCTGCACGCTTTGTCTCCCTGACACAGTTCCACCATTCAAAGAGCAGAGACCATCAGACCAAAAACAGCGCCGTAAAAACCAAAGACTGGTATTTCGGTTGTAAAATCATTATTTATTGTTACAAATATACATATGAATAAAATCCCTTCAACCTGTAATGTAAGTGGGCAGCTGTAAATTTGCACCCCCTCCCCCCCCCAAAAGCTGAAATGTTTTTACAGATGTCAAACTATTTTTCTCGTAGAATTACACATTGAAAGGAAGCTAATATGCAGACAGAACCGAGGAAGGCCTCTAGAAAACACCAATATTAATAAAATTTCAATTGCCCTCATTCCAATCAACTATATACATTAATATATGAATGTGGAAGCATACCATGATTATACGTCATCCAAATCCTTCTCTGTTGTGCTTTTTGACAGTACACAAATGTAAGCGTTGGAGCTTTATGTACAGTACGGGAGCAGGAAGAAAGCAGCTCCCTATGGGAGAATGTAAAAACCATACCCAAGCATTTAATATATATAATCTATACAAATTATTTTATTAGTGTGCTCTTTTAATATAATTACAATGTGCAATTGCATACCGCAAGAATATATTTATAGGTAAGTCACGTGCAGATCTGACACATTTACATTCAGCAGTACAACACATTACCTGCTGTACAGTGTATTAGGGTAAGACAGTGTCCAGTTAATTTGCTTTGCTGTCTAAATGCCCTAATGCAGGGCACTCTCTGTAGCTGCTTCAGAGAAATTCAAGTAGAATACATGAAAGAATCGCTGGCTTTAGCAAAGGCATGGAAAGGAGTGTCTGCGTTGTACAGAACAGAAACTGGGGACCGAATCAATGCCAAGGGAGTGTACTGTAAATCACGATTGGAAGATCAGGTTTGCTGCGTGGCAATGTACCTGTGGTCAAAGAGCAGCTGGCCAGAAGGGCTGCTGATTGCTGTACCCTGATTGTTATAAAAAGCTCTCGCGCTACGAAGCACTTGTACTGATTGCTAAACAAAAATAAAATCTTTATCTGCTTCTTCGCCAGAGTCACTGGACTTGCTTCCCTGATGGCCGTCTTTACTTAAGGATCTCTGCTTCAGTTCCTGGAACTCGTGTGACTGCTGCCCAGGGCTTCTTTTTGCAGCTGTTTAAAACAGAAATAAGGCTTACTAATGACTGTAGGAGAAAGTGCACCCCCTGTAGTAGTAGTGGTAGTAGTAGTGGTAGTAGTAATATTATTATTATTATCATTAGTATTATTATTAACATAACATAACATGATATTATTATAACATAATAATAATAATGTTATTCATGCACACAGGACGGACCTGCGCCAGCTCCCACTGAATTCATTTGCAGTAGTGGGAGCAGCATAGGCTGCTCCTTCAACCCAGAAAAAAGTGAGAAAGAATCACAGAATCAGAATCACAGGATTATTGAGGCTGGAAAAGACCTCTGAGATCACCAAGTCTAACCTATGACCTAACACTACCACATCAGCTAGACCATGACACTAAGTGTCACATCCAGCCTTTCCTTAAACACCTCCAGGGATGGTGACTCCACCACCTCCCTGGGCAGTCCATTCCAATGCCTGATCACATGAAAAAAGTGCTTTCTAATATCCAGCCTAAACCACCCCTGGTGCAGCTTCAGGCAATGCCCTCTCGTCTTGTCACAAGTTGCCTGGGAGAAGAGCCTGACCCTAACCTGACCACAACCTCCCTTCAGGTAGCTGTAGAGAGTGATAAGGTCCCCCCTGAGTCTCCTCTTCCCCAGGCTAAACAACCCCAGCTTCCTTAGCCTCTCATTATTAGACTTTCCCTCTAGTCCCTTCACCAGCCTCATTGCTCTCCTCTGGACCTGCTCCAGCAATGTCCTTCTTGAAGTGAGGGGCCCAGAACTGTACACAGTACTCGAGGTGAGACCTCACCAGAGCTGAGTACAAGGGGACAATTACATCCCTACTCCTACTGGCCACACTATTCCTGATACAGGCCAGGATGCCATTGGCCTTCCAGGCCACCTGGGCACACTGCTGGCTCATGTTCAATCGATTGTCAACCAGAGCAAACTTCATTCCACTGTTGCTTGGCAAGCAGACACACTTGAAATACCAAACTTAGGACTTCACTGTGACATGAATAAACACTTCAGTGAGAAGCAGCCTGGAGACTTCTGTCTGATCACATCCCTCAGACCAGCCATGCACATCCCGGGCAGGCCTGTATCCCTAGCAGACAAATCTCTTCTCCCTTTTGACTCAGCAGCCCTAACATCAGGATGTTCACCCTGGCACCCAAGTTACCTGAACTGCTGCTCCCTGCCTCACCAGCACTGCCAGGTCTCTGCTTCCTGATGGGAAGGGGGACAACCCACGGCTCTGAGCCCAACCTGCATCTCTTCCAGCTGAGACCACGGCTCTGCACCTCACTGGGCTTGGCAGTGGAAAAAGCAGGAGGACATCCCCACTGCCCATGATCTAAAAGCAAACAGTATCCGTTTTGTTTGCCCACCACTCAAAAAATCTCAGTAAGGCCAGGGTTTTCCCAGAATCTGTAAGCTTTGAAAGAAAATGGAAAGAAGGTTGTAAAACCTTGTTAAGATTTCTGATCTAATCAGGTCTAAAATTGCTATGGTAACAAGAAAGTTATTACACACATCAACAGGGGTGACATTATGCGAGGATTGATGGCTTTAGAAATCTCATACCTACAACTAAAATGAACCTTTAAAGACACAGTGGCCCTGGAATATGACTTGGTTGCAAGTCATCGCACTTCACCCTCACAAATTCAAATGTTAAATTACAAGACCTTTTTTGCGCCACCATTTCAGGTAAGGACCAAGAGGCTGTGAAACAGGGGACAGAAAGCTCTGGCCCTTTTTCATTTGGCACAGACATTGTCCAGCTCTGGACCTCTGCTGTGGCGAAAGCAGAATGGACGTATCCAGCACACGGCTTGCTGAGACCCACCTTGGCACACATGGCACATTAGTTTTCCTGAACTCAAAATACCCATTTCCTTATCTGTGTTAGCCAAAATATGGGAGGAAATGAGAGCCAGCAGCTACACGCTTGCTGCATTCTTATCCTGGCACTGCAAGTAGAGAAAGAAGAGGAAAGGATTTTGAGAAAGGTTTTTAAAACTATTTAATGGAATTGGAGAGGATTATGATACCTAAAATCTGTTAAAAAATAATTTAGGCATTTCCACCTTCCCAAACACCACTGCTTTTCAAAGAAAAAGGTGCTTGGAAATTTTTGAGTCATTCTTGATACCTGTACCTCCTCGTAATTACAGGGCCTTTGTTTGTCACTCTTCAGACAAAACCCAGAAACACATCCTGCATCAACCATTTCAGTTTATGGGCTAATAAAACAAGACACGTAGTTTGCCCTCAAAATGCCTGAAAAACATACCAGGCATTTAACTCCACATACTGCAAGCAGGCTTCTGCCACAAGAGCTTGTCCTTGCCCTCAAGAAACCACACATGGGTGAACCTGCACTGATCTGCAGCAGTATTTCAGCTTTTGACATTTACTTTATCAGACAGATATCTTAGAATAAATTAAAATATAATAATTTGATTATGATGGGGAAGAGAGATTTGAAGTCTGGGTGGGCTGAGTTTGATTCTACAATATGAAAAGAAAAATCACTTTATACATTTTGGGCTGAGGATGGAGAGGGGCAGATGGGATGTTTCTTTCCCTTTACTAAAATGAAATAACACAAGTTATGGAAAACTTACAGAAGGGATACATGATGTCTTATAAACATAAAAACTGTGGTAAAGATAATAGTATAAGATGTTCAAATACCTCATTAAAATACTTCAGAAAAGAAGTAATTTTGAGTAAATGTAAAAAAAACGCCAACAAACTGCAGGTGATGAGAAGCATGTAAACATATACCATTTGAGAACAGGAGGTTTTATATTTTAAAAACACATAGATCAAACAAACATTTTACTGAATGAGTTCACTAGAAGCCAAAATTGCACTTCAGGAAGCATGGCTTTAAGCATGCCGCACAGTGCTGGGTTTGGGTTATTTCGGCATTTGTTTCTTTATGCAGCTGAAAAGCAAAGAGCTGTGTCAAAGCAAGCTGATGTACCCAGTTCTCAAATGGTTTTGAGAGTGATGTACTGAAACTGGCACTAACAATCTTCAGGTTGAAATGTATTTTGAAATACTTCAGTGCACGCATCTTAAAAAAGGAAAGGTGTGTAAGAAAACAAAGCAGTGTAGGTCATGGTTTATACTGAGCCCTTTTCTGCAGAGGGGCTGCAGGTGCTGTATGGCACTGGTCACTGGTGTTGCCAGGAAGGAAATTTGCATGCATTTTAATATCTGGACACTTTTTCATGCCATGTAGTTCCCATGGAGACAGAAAGATGATCAGCATCCTGTGAGATTTTTTTCCCTTTCTCATAATCCAATGAAAAACCCTTTCGTGACTTCTTTGCTACTACAGTTTCTTAGCAATTGTTAGTGCCAGTTATCAAGCACCATTGTGATGAAAAATGAAAATGTCTGACCAGAAGTTGGCTGTGCCTTTCCCTGCCCAAGCACATGAGCTTCCTCTTCTGCACTGGTAGAATACTGCCCCGAAGTGGTTTTCACGCTGCCAGATGACTTGGCACAGTCAGGAGCTGTATCTCTTTTTTGACTATCTCCTGTTTGCTCTAGCAGAAAAAAGGATTAATTTATACCCTTAAGGTGTTCTGTAGGCCCACATACGGAAAGTAGCATAAATAATTTCACTTATCCATCCCATTTAATCAATTGTTCAAAGAGTAGTAATCAATATGCCAGATGCTTGCTTAAATTTAGGCCAGATACTTGCGTGTGTTGGTAACTGCAGTCTGATCTTACAGGTACGCTGTGTAAAGAGGTGTAATTTGAGATTGTCCCACAAGGTACAGTTAAATTCATTAACAGAAAGCAATTTTATAATCAAGTATCATCTAACGCATAGCTTTCTTTTGCAGGAGACAGAATTTTGCTAACTTAGGCAGATTTGCAGTGATTTACCAGTTGCAGAAATAAATTAAGTGTGCTAGCCTGAAAGACAGCTGAAAGCAAGGACAGAGGAATGACTAAGTAAGGAGGTAGTGCAGTAATAAGGAAAAAGAAAAACCTGAAAAAAGAATTAAAAAATCAAACAAACAGAATTTACTCGTTCCCAAACAATTTTATGGAAAGCATAGCAGCTACATAAAGACCTGGAAACCCAATTTTAGCAGTTCTAATCTATTATTGATAAAATTCTTACAATATGATGTAGTGGCAACTAGAAAACCCTGTGTTTGGCCAAGTCGTCTGTGGAGGTCTAAGGGAGCAAGGAGTGAGGAACGCACAGCATCTCACCTCTTTTGTGTAAGGATTACAAACAGCAACCACATTTTAAAGATAAAGCAATTGTCCCTCTTAATGTGACAAGCACAAACAGCAAAACCTTGCCAAATCTCTGCTGTGTTAGATTGCTGTAACACAAAAGGATTGTAGGTATGATCTCATATTCCCTGCTCCTACAGTATGTCCTCTCTCATGACAGGGAGATGGAGAAGGCACATAGCACAGAAACAGTGAGGCTAACCTCACATTAAAATGTCCCTGCAACGAGTTCCATTACATTGTGTTTCTCTGGTTATGCAGCGACAAGTTCTCTGGTGAAAAGCTGGTGAGAAAACAAGGGCTCTGGCATACACAGTTACTAGACAGCAGCTGAGAGCCTGTTGTGGCAAGAGCCTTTGGACACAGGATGGTGCCTGCTAGATCTACATAACCCAGTGAGATCATGGTGGTACTGGTGGGCTACCTCCATGGCACAAAAGCAGCCCAACAGCATCGTCCAGGTGGCTGAAGCAAGAGCCACAATCTGTAGACAGATACTGCACATGTGCTGACATGTGGTCACCAAGTGGTAGCCACCATAGCAACAATTCTTCAAGCAGAGCAAAGCCCAGACTGTGAGATAAGTAGTTTCATAAAGCAAATGGTAGGTCTAGGAGAGAAAGGGAAAAGCTTCTCAAAATACAACTCTAGACCATCCCATTCTTGGGAATGGCTTTGCCCTCCTCTCATCTAGTGGGTAACAGTGGGCTCTGTGGGCAGCACAACTGCTGCCTACATAACCCAGCATTATGTATCTGCCTTGAGTTGCCTGGCTCATCCTACACTCTGTAATAACCTTGGGGCTCACTGTCTTTCTTAAGTAGAGTCCTTGAGAGGAAGAGGTCTCACCCTCAGATGTCCAACCTTGTCATTTGTGCCAGCTAACACCATGTTGAGCAGTATTTCTATGACTACTTCTTCACATATCCTACACTATCAGAGGAAGCCTTAGCTCTTCTAAGACCCAACTGTGGACAAGAAAACGCATCAGCGAAAGTAGAGATCCAGCACACACATGAAAAGCAGCAAAGAGAAGGCAGCAGCCTTTGGTAAAAGGTACCAAGCCCTGCCCTGGCACACAGACACACTGCCCGAGGAGGAGGAGGTGAGCTCAGTCACATGCGGTGACCCCACAGAAAGGAGGAGCAACAGAGCAACAGGCTGGCTGCAAGAAGCAAAGTCATGGCTGCTCCCCTGAAATGTCCTGAACCACAGAGCTGCATTTCACATTACTGTGTGTGGCCAACACCAATCAGCATCTCGATTCAGACCAAACTAAACCATAACATACACAACACAAGGGTTCCTTAATTGTTCAGCTACATTATTAATACCAAGGGATTCATCTTTTGTTTGGTTTGATCAACAGAAGAAAATATAGAGCACCAACCCACATGTGGAGGAGATGGGAAATAGGTGACTAGATACACTTCCCTTGCTCTTTTCCCTCCAGATGAGTACCTCTCTTCCACCCCAAGTGAAAACAAATCAGGGGACAATGACACATTGAAGGAGACAAGCACGCTGGAACAACAGTTATATCAACACTCCTACCTTCTTGAGAAAACGTTCTGACTGTGGGGCTGCTCTGACCATCCTTTTCTTTATCAGAAGGAACTTTCTTCAGCACAGGTGGAAGCAGGGCAACTTTTGGGGAACTGGGGCCGGAAGGAGACTCTGGAGCATCCTCTGTGGAGTACCATGAACAAAAGGGTGAGAAGTTTTAATTGCGCTGTAGTTCACAGAAATGGTGCAGTGATGATGGGCCAACTCCCAACACAATATACAAACAAGAAACAGCTAGAATAGTGTCAGAAAAAGAAGGGTTCAGGAATTTACATTATGCCAAGAGAGCACATGATGGCCCTCAGTTCAGGTGAAAGAGTTTTAAAAGCCAAAGATCCCAATTTCAGCATTTTTAACGTGTACTGCTGTTGTAGCACAAATATAAATCTGATGGGACCAACTGATTTTCCTGTAAGACATAAGTATGCAATTTGTAAACAACAGCTGAAAATTATTTTGGATGGGTTTTTGGAAATATTTGTTCTATTTATATTTTATTGTTCTGAAACATAATGAACTGATCAATTTAGATGTCCTGTTTCACAGTTATAAGGCATAAAAGTGAACCAGTGAAACAAATTACATAAATAGACAACAGAACTCTGTACTGCCAGGAATAAATTGCCAGTACATAACATGATAGCACCTGCAAACATTTTCTAAATAGAAAAAAATACTTCATCCTCTAGACCGTGAGGAAATCTGGAATTTAAATTCAAATCCATAGTTTAAACCATCTGGATATCTTGTTTCTCTGAAAGGCTGGACATGCATTAGGTATGGCAAGTTGACCATCACCTTTACAGTCCTTACAGAAAGACCTTTTCAGCCTTCATTTGAGCAGCAGGGAAGTACAGCTACAACAGACTACTTAAACTGCTTGTATGTTTTCTTCCCAAGGAGTAAACAGTGGCCTGTGTAGGCAACAGAGGAACTAGGAAGATACATTAGTACTGAGAGAAGGAAAAAGAACTCAAGGTATCACCTGTATTGCGTGGTTGTACAAGGAGTTAATTCAGTTGCACACTAGAAATCAATAGGAATTAATCTCACTGTTGAGGACAAACCACAAAGGAGTAAATTTTTTTACGTTTGGCAAAGGAGACTGATGACCTTCCAAATGCAACTCGATCTGATCAGATACACCAGTTCTTGGACCTTCTCCATGCTTCTGATGTGCCTGTGAGGCCAGTTGCTTTGGGAAGCTTGGTACCAACATATGGATGAGCACAGTGCTTGGCAAACACAGCTATGGATTTCTGAACTGAAGCTGTTATGTGCTTTATTGAGGAACCACTTTCAGACTTTGATAGTTTGTGGACATCTGAGCTGTGCTCTTTTGTCCTCAGATTACTTAGCAAAAATTTGCTACCATTAGTTTGGCCACAATGCTGGAAACAACAGCGGGAGCAAGAGCATAAAACAGATTACTGCTTGGCGTCTTCATCACATTGCCTGGGCGTGCTTTGCCAGCAGGCTGCTCCAAGTACTAAGACAGAAGTTAGACTGCAACAGAGATGGTGCTGCTTTTGCTGGCACCTGAGGAGCTGGCCTATTATAAGTAAATATTAATTACCCTCTCAAAGTACGCTCTCCCTGCAAGAAATAGGAGCTGGCAGAAACAGGTAGCTCAGGTCTTTCTGATACCTAAGATTCTGAGACAACACACTGCCTATTTTACAGATTAAGGATCACCAAATAAGCCATGCTTTCCTATTGCATGCGTCTTACCTGGCACCTCTCACTTCTATCACCATTTCTAAAATGGCCACTAAAATAAAATCAAAGACTTCTAAAACCTGGAGGTGATTCTGTACTTGCAAAACATTCTGCCCACTGGGGTGCAGAGACCAAGTAATGCCTAGGTACACACTGAGGACAGGGAAGAGGCTATAACATCCCTTTGCCCTCTCATCCTCACCAGAAATCACATCTTTCTAAGGTCAACAGTGGTTATGGGAAAAGCCTAGAGGTCTGCGAGCTCTTACAGATGGTTATACTCACATTTTTCAGTCACTAGCAATTAGTAAGCTGTATTGCCATAGCTACTGGGGGAATCAGTAACTAGCATTTAATTCCCTCCAACTGCAGTGGCTATTCTTTGGGAAGGGGGAGTTGTGACACTGGGCTATTAAATAGTGGACAGCCAAACGTATGGGAGATCTGCTGAAACATTTCACACCACTGGAAATCTTGAGATAATATCTGGGCCGGAGGTTAGGACAGAGCAGAAGTTCATAGTCACTCAACTGGCAATCTTGCAGGGTTATAAAGCACAGTCACAATTATTTCCAGTCAAAAGCAATAAGGAAAGAAACAAAGGCAAAACAAGAAAAAAGAGAGTGAGAGACAATTGGTTTGTGCAAGTTATTAAGAATAACACGCATCTGCTCAAGGGGCTAAGAGTAGCCTGCCAGAAAACCCCAAGGACTTTAGTATTTAGAGTCAGTTCTTTAGAGAAAATACAGTTATTTTTGTCAGTGCTACAACAGGGCTTTGATGCTGAAGTAGCGCTCTGAGCTCTCCTCTTCCATGAACGCAGACTAACTCAAAACAGCTCTGCCACTGCTGCTATTGCTTCTCCTTAGGCTTTACTATTGTGGATCATAGATTAAAGAATTTTAGTAAGTTTAGCTGAATTAGGGCAGAGGGAGGTGGAAAAAAAGGATGCAAGTCAAGAGGATGTGACTGAAGAACCTGTCCCTCTACTTCTGTTCAGGATGTGGTCATGGGTGTTTTCCCCACAGCCCATGCAACCACCACTCAGAAACATCCAGCTGGGATAACCAATGCCCAGAAGAGCTCCTCACCAGTACGAGATGCAGAGCGTGGTTTCTGTGGCACTGTGGGTCGTCCTGCCAGGCTGGGCTTCGTGGACTGCAGCGGGGGCTTTGGGCTGGTTGGTGTATTGGAAGAACTTCTTGCCTTTGCGCCAGCTTCTGCCTTTGGTTCAGCTTTTGAGTTTTTTTCTGATGACGCTGAGATGGAGTCACCTTTATTTGAGGCAAAGCGACTCTCTGGAAGGGTCTGCTGGAGTTTAGGCACTAAAATAAATAGACATGTAAAATAAAGTCTCCTGCAATACAGAAGACTCATGTGGAAAAATATCATCATTAGTTCACATATCACTGCTGCATTGCAGTGCAAGTCTGCAAGAGAATCCCTAATATTTCATTCAAAATCACTACAAGAAAAGCATTTAAATCCACCAATTCTGCAGTGTGCTAAACTTCATAATTCAATTGCCTCAGAGGTGATGGCATCTCCTCCTTTTTAATATATTTGGGGTGATAGCCGGCTGGACATTATACTCCCTTCATATTTCTGGGAGCAGATGGTACAGCTCCCCTGCTGAGAGAGCAGCAATAGATCATTGGAAAAGGCAGACTTTGGCTGTTTTGTGGCTCTACAGACAAAAGCTTGGCTATCCAAGATCAACAGAGAAATCCTGGCTGAGAAAATAAATCCCAAATGTGTGACCAGCAGGCTACATCTTTTTATTTGTTGCTTTTAGCAAGCTCTAGAGGAGATTTTGAAACTCAGTTGAGATCAAAGTATTCTTTATACAATATTTTGATTTATCTAATAACGCTGTATATGGATTATGGTTTCCACACATTAGCAAGTTTATCAACATATTCTATATCCCAAACAAAGACCAAGATATTTACAGATAAAAATACACTGACTTCCAAGCAATAAATCAATCCTATCTAGCTGTGCAAGTTGGTAGAAAGCCTGCTGGACTCTGCAAACAAGCAAAATGCCTGCCCTATTTTTCGTCTTTGCAGCTTTGGGAAGGTTGAAGGCTTTCATGAAGCAGATATAATGATAATCTTGGAATCTGTATGTCAGCTTGGGACTTCCAACAACTGTCACATCTTTATTCTCAGAACTGAATTACAGACTGACTGAAACGCAGACTGGTGGCCTTGGTACCTAGCAAAGCCAAGTATGTGCTCACAGATGCTGACTTGACCTACCTAACTGCTATTCCCATTCAGAAATCCTACTTGTTGCAAAAGTGCTGAGCACAGACATTTTAATGGCAGTGGGAAGGAAGGGAGTGTTGATGTAATTTGTTGCAAGCCAGTCTCCAGTATGTTTTTCCAGCTCATGTAGCTGTTTTTCAGCCCAGCTGGAGTTACACTCTGGCAAACCATACAGACTTGTGTGGCACAAATATATTTGCATGAGTGTGCGACAGAGAGAGTTCATGTCTGCGTGCATGCAATAGACCTTCATGCTGCAAGCAAAACAGCAGGGCCCCCTTCTCCACCTGTATGTGTACATACAAAAAGCAGACAATATCCAGACACGAAGCAAGGAATAAGAAATCCTTATCTGCTTCAGCAACACTACCTATAGTTCTTCTGTAGCAACATCCAGCTATTTTCCATTAACTCTCTTTCTTGCCTTCCTAACCTCAGGCTTGCTAGTATTATTAGAACCCAGTAAGTTAAAATAAATTAACCCAAAACAAAGACAAACTGTAGTCGCAACAGCAAAGAGCATCCTCAGGGAGCTCTCAAGTAAGAGTGGTAAAGAAAGAACTGACAGCTCGAGGCCAAAAGGAAGGGGCATGCACAGTACAGTGAGGTAGGGGTGAAATGTGTCATATACAAAAACAAGAACCAAAGAAGAACTGGGGTCAGACACCCCCAGCTACTCTAATGCCCTGAGCACAGACTATTCTTGCTCCTCTGACCTCAGTTTGATGCCATCAGGAGACACATATAGTACACAAGGGCCTCCTCCAAAGATAAGCAGGCTTTCAAAGCGCTGGTTTATAGAGTTCAGCAGGCTCTGAATAAGCTGTCTTTTAAGACTGGCTTTAGAAAAGTATGAAACCTCAAGATCTCTTTCTGAAGTTCTCAATCAACATGGACACATTTGGATTTAGATTTCAGCCTGTTTTTTCAGTCTTCCTTCAGTATGTTGTGTCACCCCTCCATGCCATGCTTGCAGGACACCTAGCACCACTGTTGAGAAATCATAGAATCATAGAATACCAGGTTGGAAGGGACCACAAGGATCATCTAGTCCAACCTTTCAAGGTAAAACTACAATGCATATCAGGTCAATCAGACCTGGATTTCCAGATTCAGCCCACTCTTTTCAGTCCAGTGAATGTAACCACCAACCACCAGAGCTGAACACCTTTTGAACACTTCACTGGCCAGCCCCAAAGATATGAACAGAGACCAGAACTTCATTTAGCCCTGAGATGGCTGCATTGTAGGCACTGCCATAGCAGGGCCTGGGTCTACAGCTTGACAAGGGGGCAACAGCCCTAGAGCTGCCTTCAGGAGAAGTGCTGTCCAACACAGTACAAAAAAAAGAGTTTGTTTCTAATCCTTTTCACATAGTGTAAGCTCATATTTTGCTTAATCAACTGTAGGCACACAACTTGGAGAGGGAAGTGAGATTTTTGAGGTTAGACATCTTGCATTTCCTAAAAAGAGTTTATACCAGGAAACTCAAACTGTACCTGTACCACTTCCATCCAGTCGTTCTGAGCTCATCGCCGTGTCAAAAGACTCTCTAGGAGTTGTGTCATTCCCAAGTTTCTGAAAGAGGGAGAAACACTCTCATATTAATAATATAATTAATACAATGTGGTGATTCTATTAGAGAAAACAGCTCTAATTTGGAAGTCATAAGGTAGAGAAAGGAATGATGGAAATAAATGGTGGATTCTCTCTCCTTGTTTCTCTTTCATGTCTTGGAGATTTAAGCAGGAAGAAAACAATGCTGATTTGTAACTAATACTGCCCCATGTCTAACAAAGCTGCAATGACACCCTGCCTCCTAAGTGACAGGTTTCCTAATGTACAGAAGTTGAAAACTGAAGGTGCTAGTTGGAAACGGTCTTTTCTCCAAGACAGCTCCATTTTTCAAAAATTCCTTGTTTAGGTTTAAAATAAAGTCTTCTTGTGAAGATCTAGATTTTGAATATGACTGCTGAATGGATATTATGCTCTTCTGCACACAAGAACAGCTTCATCTTTTAGATAAACCTGCAACACCACAAGTAGCAGTACTCACATATTTACAGGACTCCTCTAAAAACAAACAGACCTCACTTACTGAAAGGTGTTTAAAGCCCCCCATCACAAGCACTGCTGGATGCTCAGCAACTCTAAAGAAAGGGGGCTTCTTCTTTATGTGTTGATATCCTTGTGCATATGACTTACGTGCAAGTCTTCTGTTCTCAAAAAAAACCCTTTCCTAATATCCTGGCCCTAAAAGAAAAGGTGCAAAGACTTTTGTCTCACAGCTCTAGCCTAACTGAGCTTGAAACCAGGAGAAGCTTAGATATGCACCTGATGTGCTTGTAAAAGAACCAGCCTCCTTTTACTGTCTTACCTGTTACTAAAGCTTAGTACAAAAGGTGCATAGAAATAAGTGCAGGAAAGCCTTCGAAAGATAAGACTAGGAAATGAGTGAGATTTTTTTTTTTTGAAACTCAAGAAGTCGCGACAGACTTTTGCAGGCAGCTTCAATCTTCAACTTGATTTGCTATTTCAAGAGAGTCAGTATGGCAAATGACTTAAAGCAAGTGATTTGTGCTGGTGACCATTGCATTTGGTTATAATTTGATTATATACCCATGCGTTCAGGACACTACTGCTACTGATCCAACACCAAATCTGCATGACTCGTGCTGGAATTTGACTGTTCAATAGCGTTCAGAAATACCACACAGCATACATCAAACATGATCACTGCCCTTTGGAGTTTACAATCTAAAAGACTCCTAGGTTAGCATGTAGATTAAAACTGGACAATGGGAAATGTAGGAAGGAAGAGAACGGTTACAAGTAGCAGAGGCACATACTAATGATCAAAAAAATGAACCGATTCAGAGCAAAAATTAATTTTAAATATAAACATAAAGGAATGTTCTCTAAATATCCATGCTGGGTATGTGCCTTTCCCCTGTAGCGGTAATTCAATGCAGGTATTTCAAGCAAAGCAGATTTTGGGGAGCGATGCAGAAAAGAGTGTGGTTTGCCTTACAGATTTACAGATACCTCCATCTTCCTCATGCAATCTCACAGCTCCTAAAACAAATCTCTCTCTAATACAACAAAGAAAAGGATGGAGATGCTGAGAGCCAGCCATTCCTGTATAAGGCCCAGCAGGGTAATGCTGCCTCCTGACCTCTTCACTAAGTCCCAGGCTTGCACTTCAAATGGCACACTGCATTAAGGAGGATGCTATTAAAATGGTCATTAAACTGCCTGTACTGTAAAACTGCCCCGATACAGATATAACTACCCACTCTAGGGGATTATATTCCTACAGGTTTCAAGTATAAAATCATCTGTATGTTAAAAAACCACGTGTAAGCCAAACAAGCCCTCTGGTCAGAAGCACTCTAGAAATGCAATGACTTGTAAGGTGAGAATGGTGAGCTACGGTGCCTGTACAGACAAAACAAAGTCTCCTCCAAAGCTAGCAGGAACATCATGCTTTGTACCACTGGGTGAAAACTCAGTTTTTATTCCTGTTTCTTGACTGTCATTAATATTTCGGCTAAATTCTCACCTCTCCACCTCCTAATACCACGTTTCTTAGTGAGACTGTCTTGGCTATGTATTTTCAAAGGGAATACCACTCTCCACTTACTGGATTTTTCTTCCACACCTAGGGGAAAAAGGGTCCTTGAGAACAGAATTTACCAACAATTTCTTCATGGAATGTGAATTCTCATGAACTTTCACTGAAATACTAATTTTCCTATGCAAATATCTGATGTATGTGTAACACTTAGCTACAGCAAATGACTTTTAAGAGAGCTTTATGACAATATAGAAATTAATTTCACTATAAGTCTTTCCTCCCTCCCTAGTTATGGGACTACTGGGGAAATATAACCATGTACAGAAACAAGTACAAAAGCCAGTGCTGGCATCTATTAGTGCAGTACTTAACAATGCAATTAAGGTGTTAGCATGTTTGGTTTCCTGCTGTACACACATTACGAACTGCCATCCTGAGACAACACTAAGCACTTGCTGCAAAAAATATACTCTGAGCAGCTGTCAATCATTTCAGATGAAAGAACTTATCACAACCAGGCTCTGCTTTTAATAGAAATTCACACAAGGTTGGGAAATACTGCAGAATTTGGTGCCACTGAGAGTGAGTAAATAGGTTACAGATGATCTTGGTCTGCTCGTAGGTCTTGCTCGAGGTATTTAAAAATCCAGTTTGTAAACGCTAGATGGAGCTAAACGATCTTTTCATGTACGCCTAAAGGCAACACTAATCTGCAAATACTCCTCTCTACCATTAATGTCAATTCCCACGTTGTATTCCAAGCAAAAGAAAACAAAAAAGCATTTACCATCTTTCCATCTACTGTGCACCTGCTCATTGCTTGTATCTGTAACAAGACTGTGGTAGGGGATGAATGAAATAGTAAATTCCTTCTGGCTTTGTTTTCACGTGAAAAAGCTCAGAATGTAAGCAGCCATCTGTACCTTAAAGGAAAATACAGTTTTCTATCATACTGAAATTCTGATAAATTTGAAGATGTTAGGGAAGCTGATGTCATACCCACCCTAAACAACGCAACAGCAGGGGGATGCTGTCTTCTGTAGCTCAACCATCAGGATATTATATGACTTTCACCTTAATGAATATCATGAATAGAAGTACAAAACTAAATTATTCAATATTGCAATCTAGGATGAAGTATGCGAAACATTCTTTTGAAAAGCTGTTCAATTTTGTGTGATCTGGATGACATTAAGAATGGTTAACTTGGTGCCCTGCTGTGCACAGGGCACCTATTTCAATTCAGTTTTCTTGTCACTCTTTTTTTAAAAACAAACCAACCTACTTTTGCATTCCATATACATACAGTTTTACAAAATCTAACAAAAAATAAGATAAATAATCACTATTTTCTTGACAATTAAAGCTGAAAAAAGAGGAGTAACCTTTCCAAATAGTAAAAAAGGCAAAAGGTGGAAGAAAAAATACTGGGAAAAGGCAACAACTTTTCTTTTTGATAAATGAAATTTGAGATTTTAATCAATGCTACAGAAGCTCATCAATTAGAGGACTTCTACACCCTCCACTTAAAAAGAATTAGACATGCTAATGTTTTAGCTCAGTCACAACATTCCAGATCTGACTAACTCTAGATGACAAGTGTTAAGAACTTGCAGAGCACCAAGCACACACAATTCATGCAGTTGTAAAACTTTATATAACCTGAAGTAGCTTGGTATGGGGGATAATGGTGGGGAATGGGTAGCATCAGAGTGCCCGGCACATTGAAGAGGAAGAGAGAAGTGAAAAAAGGCTGATGGATTGGTAATTTTTGGACTTGCCAACTGCAGCTGGCAGGAAGCAGGGGATGATAATGGGGAAGTTCAATGGGAAATGGGCATCAGGCAAAATCGGTCAACACAAAATGTGTTGGAGCAACACAAGAATATTCCACCCTGCCTGTCTGTGAAGTAAAGCACGGTTCCTGCCCAGAATAAGCACTTCATAGAGGGGAAAATCAGAGAGAGAATGAAGGGAATCCAGACGGATAATTGGGAGTATTTTTTTAAACGTATGCTTGTTTCCTCTGAGTATTAGTATTTGAAATACAGAAATCAAAGGCATAAAAATAATTAGGTGTGGTACAAAAGGACAAAAATAATAACATGCAACAAGAAAAGTATAAGCTGAATAGCTGTAAACAGCGTCTGGAAGCCAGATTTACTTTTCTGCATGGAATATATGATTTACAATACAGTACATCACTTTTCTACATCACCTTCCAAAAGAGAAGAGTACAGATAGCTACCACTGTAGTTAACTCTCCCAGAGTACCAATGTACAGGGGGCACACAGTAAGAAGTTTGTCCCACACATCATATAGAGAGGAGACGTCCAAGCTATTCTTACCAAAAAGTTACTTTGTAATACGTGCAAACAATTATGCATCCTCGCCTGTGCTTGCGATGGCCTGACAATAAAGTGCAAGAGCTGGTATCACCTCCTCCACAAGAGGATAGAAAGTGCAGGCTTAAAAGTGCATGCCCTGCTCCATACGTGCAGCCTAGTTCTTGGCCAGGGTATTTGTGTTCAACCACCACAGCAGAGAGCAATTCTCTTGCAGGAACACCGTAAGCCCTGCTGGAAAGCAGGACTGACACATCAAGCTCCAGCAACCAACCCTTGTAGACCCAACCCACCTCCCCTGAGGACTCCTAGGTCTTGCTCATTTTTTCAACAACTCAAGAGAAATCAAATTGCCTTCACCTTCTGAGCAGAGGCTGCTCTCTTCTCCTGCTTGGCTTTCATTTCTGCGAGAAGTCCACTGCCCATCACCTGCACGCCGTATCTCCGGCCTCCTTGTGGGCTTCCTTTGCTGTCACCCTTCTCGGCTTTTGTAGCATCGTCTGGCTGCATCTCCTCCAGTGAATCCGGTGTCTTTAGCTCTTCAGATCGCTCTGTACCACCGTTCTGCTCTGCAGGCTTTACCTCCTTCTTGCTTGTGTCCACAGCTGGAGTTTTTGCAGCAACCTTGGGTGAGGAGGTCTCCTCTGCCACCAACACAGTCTGAGGACGTTCAGATTTGGAGCCTCTTGATTTGATTAAGTTAAGGAAGCCACTCTTCCTCGAGTCCCTTTTCTTCTTCTCATCACCTGCTTCACTGGGCTCACTGCTGTCTGAACCTTTGGCTGATGGCCTCCTAATAAAAAACAGAGACATTTTAAACACTTCTTCAATTCCTTCTTCCCTCTTTTTTAACTAGTACCTAATGATTTCTTCCATGCAAAGCCAATGTATTGTATGATCTATATGTTGCCCTAGGCCCAGTCATTGGCTGGTGTCTCTAAATTAAAAACTGGAGAATGAACATTGATAACATTGTCTTGAAGATTCCTGTGCCGGCCTTGTGCATGGTATAACGAAGAGAGGCAGTCGTTTCACCTCCACTGGGCACCTGGTTGTTTCCAACGCCAGCAAGGTGTTGCTTCAGTGGAGCTCTGCCCAAGCTGCCTATGCACATGCAACTTCACTCTGCTCTGTTTCCAGAGTGCCTTATCTCTGGTTTATACCTGCCCATTCACACAATTTATGGGGGATCTTGTCTCTTAAGGGCCCTGCTTGAAATAGGAACTAGTTGGGACAGACACCTTCTCTCAATAAGGAAAATGGAGAGGACACCTTTATAGTGCAGAAGCTCATTGTCCAAAAAAAAATAAAAATAAAAATAAAACCAAATCCCAAACGAAACAAAAAATCCCAGCCTCCAAAACAACCCACCTTCCTCGGCATCTTATGAGTGGAGTATTCACACTTGAGGGGAAAGCTGGGCACATAACATGTTTGAATATGCGCGCCCCAATCGGAGAAAGAGCCACGGGTGCAGCAAATGGAGCAAAGATCCTTAGCCACGGGCATGGTCAGGGACAGGCACACAGGGATACTGCAAGCTCATGGGGACATCTGAAATGAGCAGCTGGCAGGTGCCCAAGGGAAGCACAGGAGGATGCAGCAGTCTGGGAACACTCTGAACTTAACCCATCTAATCAATTTTTCAAAGCTACTATAATTTTGCCACTACATGCTATAAAGCAATTGTATAAACTGCACAACCTTTATTCAAAGTTGAAGGAGACGTATCTTTCAGATTAATGTATTGCCTAAATCTGGAATACTACAAACTGGTCAAACGCATCTTTAACATATTTCTAAACCAACATAAATCTACTGTCATCTGTCAAAACACTGTGCTCAACAGCAGTCCTTACTAGAAGGAGACACCCGTGTGTGCAACTAGAGTGGAGACCCTCAACCAACACACAGTTCTGCTTCAGCTCTAATGAGCTCCACTGAAGGGCAAAACAAAGTCAACTGAATTACAAAAATACACACTAGTCAACAATCTCCTCCACATGGTATATTAAAGCAATTTATTTCAAAGTAGTAATTTTTAAGGAAGGATAATTGAATTCACAATATCTTGACTTCTAAGGCATCTTCTGACTTTGACAACAGCAGCCCTGGGTGTTTGGAACAGAACTAAAATACATATCAGAAGTGCTACTTGCCCAGCTATCAGGATGGAATTTATTTATTTTTTTTATTTATTTAAAAAATGAACTTACTTTGAATCCATTTTTGTCACTTTCTTTGTGAAAAATTCATCCACACCTTCATCCACTCTCCCCATGAGGCCATTCTGATCCCCTTCTGGAGGCACTCCAGCAGACACCTGACAGAAGAAAAATTTCTCTCTGGTATATAGGAATCTAAGCATGTTTGTTTCAATGATAATAATTAAGACATTACAAGAATTGTACGTGCCAACCAAATCTCAGTGTGGACAATGGAATCACTACTGCAATTCCCCCTTTAGTCAGGCCAGTTGACATCAAACACAAAGTAATCCAAAACACCAGTGACAAATTGGATACTGCAATGCATGAGGTCAAGAATCAAGTGCCTTGGGCTTGTAAGAACAGAGCACTAGGTCAGTTAGAAAAGAAAAAAAAAGCAGTTAAAAAAAAAATCAAATCTTGATCAGGTGGTGACCTGAAGGAAAGTATTTTCAACAGCTAGTTGTTTCCCTGTTCAGAGAAAAACATATGTTCTGGATTTTGGATTTAGAGATTTAGAAACGGAGCTCCAGCGGGCTAACAGAGCCTTTTATAATTCATTCAATGAAGCACTTGTAAAAGCAGAGACTCCAAATACAGAATGAGGTGTTTCACTTCAGGAATTGAACACAGATTTTCACTAAGTGTCTGAAAATGGAAAACCTGCTCCCTGTCTTTGGTTTCAATGTCCACATTTTGAATGTGGGTGACTGAAGGCACCTAAACCAGGCTGATGTAGTAACACCTGCCAACCACAAAGGACCTGTGGAGATCAGCTAGTGACTCTGCAGCCTCCTGGAGATGAAACACTGCCGCCTCCTGGGAGGACTTCTCATGTGGTACGTGGCTTTGATGTGAAAAAGCTCGGTTACCAGTAGTGAGACTTCCTTCTATTTAAATACTGCATGGAAACCTTTTAGGTGACTACAGAGGACTCCACAAGACCCAACCCAGTTGTATTCTTGGTAGTACTAATGACCTGGAATCAGCTTGCCACAAAATACCAGGGTTTGTAATTTGAAACCATTTAAATCAAGGAATCTCCTAGTTGCCCCTGTAATTCCCAGTAATCCCAGCTTCCCTTTTCAACCGGAATACGAGCTCTTTTCTATGCCCCTTAAAAAGAAAAATAAATGGTCTTAAAAGCTGTTGTTAACATCAAACCCAGCCTCATTAAGCCAGGACAACGGATTGCATATGAGCTAATACTTAGACACATCCATGAAACTTCTTACTTTCCAGTGGCTGAACCTTGCTAGAAGCCTAGTCTTTACTTTGTTATCACAAATAATAATTAATATTTTATTGATTATCTGCTGTAGCAATGTAACACAGATCTGAAAAGAGCCCATCTTTTGCTTTGCTACCAGTCAAACTGCGTATTTTCCATTAGAATGAATTTTATTTTAAGTACAATGACTTCACAGACTTCAAGCTCTGCCACCTTTGAGGTTTTCTGCAGAGAACTTGTTTAGCTGGAACATCTGACACCAGGCAGCAATGCAGATATCAACATCTCGGTTGCTCACACCAGTGCTGGTTGTCTCAATATAAATATTTACCTTCTCACTCAAAATACAGTTGACACTGATGTTTCAATTGAAATGTGTCAACCAAAAGTGGCTGACACATTTCAACAGAAATGAGAAACCATTTAATACTGATACTGGAGCCCTCCAGGTAGTAGGAACAAACAAGTATCAAAGGCAAGTGCATCTTCTGAAGGGGAAGTAATGTGAGAAGCCAATGATGGACAGCAAATGTGAAGATCTGCCTTGAAAAAGAAAACAGTTAGCATCTGAAAAAGCAGTGAGTTTCTAAAAATGTACTAAAGATGCACACAAGTGTTGAGGGCCTAATAAGGCCCTCGAGGCATAGGATTTTCTTGTAGATGTTTATTGTAATACCGCTTAGTGATCAACATTCATGTAAAAGCCTGAGATCTGTTTATGTTGTGTTTTACGCTCCTAATGCAAAAAAAAAAAAAAAAAAAGGTTAAGTTTTCATTTGTCAATTTTATTTTATTTTTTTAGCCTAAGTTTAAAAGTAAGCCTTTAATGTTTATTTATTAAGGAAAAAGCTGCTTGGAAGCAGAAATAAATAAAATTAATCACAATCCCTTTCATACATTAGAGATTCACCTCTTTGCTGTACTAAATATTCACACGTGATTGAAGAACTCATGAGGTTAAGATCTCACAAAAATCTAAACTACAAACAACTGTTTCATCGTATTGCTTCAAAATTACTTGGGGGTGGGTGGTGCTGAGATTCCCCCCCCCGCATTTTTTTTCCCTCTAAACATTCATTTCAGAAAAAACTCTGACAAAACTCAATATTTTTTTTCTGCCCGCCCACTCACTCACCCTAAGTTAAAAGTTTACATTTCTCCATTTTTTATCCAATTTCCCTTTTTCCTTACATTTTTAGGCTTACAAAGAACAAATCTGTTTTCCAGCAAAACCAGAGAAGTACAGCTGTGATCACCTGAGACCCCTTAAATTACTAAATGAAAATAATGAGAACAGCAAACAACGCAAGAGACCTGCTTTAAGAGGTAGAAAAGGTCAAGATTTTGCCTCCCACATTTCAAGTGCTTTTCTTAAACACTGCTTTCTGTATTCTAAATGTGGCAGAACCAGCAGCAAATCAATTCTGCAAGCAATGCCACAGTCCACTCATGACTCTGGCCTTCAAAATGTGGCTGTTTCACCTCTGGAAGCATCAAAGCAAGCATCTTAAGTCTTTCCAGAATTTGTTTAGACTTGTTATGAGGTCAGAACTAGTAAGGAATTAAATGGTCTATAAAAACAAGACAAGGACCAATGAGTTTAAGTAAAAAAGTTTCTTTCAATTTCTGCAACTAAATAATCCCCTAATTTCCCTATTTAATTCAATATGGATGAGTATTCCCACAACACTGCACTATCACAGGAAGTAGCACTTCTCCTCTCCAAGAAGTAAGATTTTTGTTTCTGTTGAGCAAGATATTGTATGTCCTAGTTCCATGCTCAGTAGCAGAGCACTTGCACTCCCATGTCCCGACTCCTTCCTCACCCCTGTGCAGGTGGAACAGGATGTGCCGACTAAGTTTGGAGGAGAGGCAAGTTTAGCAACTGGGAAAACACGCACGTTCTGCAGAATTGGAATTGGAAGAAGTAAACACAGATGTGTTTTCACTACAACGCGGAGACCAGTCCGTCCTTCTGCTACCTCTATTCTTCCCTGTTAAGTGCAAGGGAACGGAAAGTTGGCTTGAATATCCCCTCAACTTGAAGGTTTCTCTATGTCCAAGTGGTGCAAAAAGCACTCTACTGCCTGATACGATCTTTCCCAGCATCAGGGCAATTTTCAAGGGTCCTCTCTGCCAACACTCCTCGGGGAGCAGAAGGGGCCACAGACGTTCATTAGTAGGCAGCGTAACTCAGAGAGGCAATGTTTGTCCCTTGATAAGGGTTACTTATCATATCAGCTGTGCTCTGTTGCTGTGAGATAGCTCCATAACTCCTCCAGATCTGTCCTTACATACCCCGAGGACATACCATAACAGAAACAAATCTTTACTGATGTGGTACGCCAAGGAAATGGAACTATGGGAACTCCACACACATATACTTGGGTTCACACCAATGCCTTTCGTAGACAGACAGTGCTCTTCTGTTTTGCTTTTCTAAGGCAGGCTCCAGCATGAAAAGCAGATCTGTGACAATGCAGATTTGCTGGCCCAAACACCACCTTTAGTTAAGGAGCTGTGGGAAGCTGGGTGTCACAGAGTAGCTCCTCTGAGAGCTGATAGAAATAAGGATGCATGCCAAGTTACCACATCTTAATGCAGGCAGAAAAAAGGATTAAGACTTAACAAACCCTTGGAATATAATTGAAAAGTCTCATGATATTTTGTGCATTTCCTGTGAAAGCTCCAAGTACCTCCAGAAACAGCTTCCATGAAAAAACAAAAGCAAATTAAAAAAAGGATGAAACATAACCTGGTTTTAGGCTGTGTTAAATGAGACCAAAAAGGCTTGTAATATGGATTGCACACTGAAAGACATCAATACCAGAAGAAAAATTAAGTAGTTGTTTATGGCTTTTAAAACTTTAAGTTGTCCTCATCATATTGCAAAACCTGACATGGCAAAATCCAATCAACAGATGACATCGCCAGCAATATTTTAATGTAGACTCACTGCTGCTTGGCTGGGCTGCTGCTTTTTATTCCTTTTGGGCCTTAATTTTGTAAAGTGTTCCAGTTTTCTCCCTTCTTCCGATGGCAGCTCTGAAATGAATCCAGAAGTTCGTTTGTCTGGCCTGCTGGAAGGAAATGGTGGGTCTTCTATATGGATAGGTACTTCTTCCAGTGCTTTATCTAGATCAAATTCCATTTCTAAGAGAAATCAAAACTTTCTAATTAGACTTAACATGCTATTTAAAACAAAAAACAATGCCATCCCTCTCTTTTGTGGTAAATAATTATAAACACATTTAGAGCACTCAACCGCAACATGGTCGTGAGCAGACAGAGCACTGTTAGCAAGTATTTACTATCGAACACACTCACAGAGTCACAAAACAAAGCAACCCGCGTGGGTCTCAAACGCAATCCAGCAGCAGGGAGAGTCATCTGTGCTTTTCAGTCAAGAACTACCTAAAAGAATCTCAGGCAAGCGAAGAAGCAAAAAGGTTTTAAAAAATTCTCACTTACCAAAAGCTCTGGACACCGGCCGGAGCATTCTACTGTGGATGCTTTTCCTTTTTGATTTAGGAGTCATCTATCAACATAAAACAAAACCCAAATTACTTTAGTGGACAGAAGAAATGACCAAGAGCACCTTTTCCTTTCTATCCAGCAAATCAGTTCTTCAAGCCTATGTATCATTTCAAGATCTGCTTGGGTTTCACACCAGCAGGGAATGGGGTTTTTTCTTCCCCTTCCCGAGCATTCAGATTTTTTTCTAAATTGATATTTTGTTCAAGGAAGTAGTTTATTCTTCCCATTAAAACCACAGGCTGTACACAGGATGCTTATTTGTCCAAGCAGTAACTCATTGATCTTCACCTGTAAAACAAGGAAACTATTAAAACCTGACCTCTAAACCTGAGATCATGTGGCACAGAA